TTAGTATTTAATTTATTTAAATATTTTTACTAAAACATCTGTTGAATGTTTTTGTGCGATCTGAGATGTGACCTTAGAACAGTATCAATAAATTATCATATTCTGCAATATTTTTTTTTTATGATTATTGGCGTAATAATAGTCTAGTGGTAGTAGATGATGCGACCTACGATGAAGTCCGCTTCCCCATAATCAACCTATTCACTCTGGTCTTAAAGACACCCAGGCCATACCTTTCGAGGAACACAGTCTCCAGCTAAGAATAAAACTCGTTAGCGAATCTGACTATAAAACTGGAGGATCCACCATTTATTTAACACTAGCTTTTGCCCGCGACTCCTTTCGCGTGGAACATTGACTTCCTGTAGATTTTTGGTATAAAAATCTATCTATCCTTTCTCGAGTTCCAAACTATGTTTGTCTCAAATTTCACAGAAATCAGTTCAGTAGTTTAGGCGTGAAGAAAAGACAGAGTTAATTTCAAATTAATAATATGAGTTTGGATTTGTGAGGGGAAAATCATCGAACGACTTTTCCTGCCCTGAGTGGAGCGACAGAGAGTGTCAGACCCTTACGGACTAAAACCCACCCCATTCCTGCTCCTGCTCTAGGCCGAGGCCGCAGTGCCTTATTGAGTTTAGCCCCGCAACCGCGGCTGTAGGATAAACAGTCTAGAATAACACATAGGCGATAACGTGAGCGAATCCACAGCCAGGAGCTAGCGATAGTATAAAACTTTCCTTCTACTTATCAATTATTAATTACTAAGTCACATGATTAATACAGAATATTGTTGCGATTTAACCCCGTGACCTCTCACCCGCTGGTAATCCTATCGCTGCTTAGATTACATTCCTGAAACGCACGTTATCGACTTACTACGCCTTATTAAGCAAATACTTGTGTTAAGAAATACATGGTCTATAAATGGAATCAAATACTTAATAGGGATTTTCAGGTTTGCTTTTTTGGCAGTGCACTTTTCATGCGCAAAACGAACTAGCATAAATTAGCAGATTTTAACTTTTTTATGAGTTAGTTACCAAGGAGTTCAATGTTGTAAAAGTTATAACACTTTCGCTTCTTATGCATGTAAAAATGATTTCGTTTTTTTCTTTTTCTCTTTTAAGACGTTGCTTGCCCCACACTAGGACTATCTCCTGTGTCGTGGGTGCGATTACAAACATACAATTTCACATACACATGACATTCAGACCCGGAAAAACAATTTGTGGATCACACAAAGAGTGGTTCCGTGCGGGAAATGAACCCGCGACACGTTGCACAGCAGCCAGTTGCCCAGCCACCGCACCAACTTTTCATCATCATTCGTGCCGAAGCATGGCTCTCCTGGCGAAGTTTAAGTGTTTTAAAACTTCTGGGGAAAAAAGTCAAAACAAAAAGTATTTAATTCAATACCTAAGAATCTTATAAGTTCACAACAAAAACAAAATAAATGAATACTTATCTCCCATGTATTATAGATCATTCGTACATTAAATTTATTAAAATACTTAACTCATTTGTTTATTTGGAAAAATATGTGAGTCAGTTCGTGATAAGAAACTGTACAGGAAATATTCCGTTATCAAAGTTACTTACGTTTTATTTTATTTACCAAGTAAAAGCAAGCGACTTTTATGAATCAGTTTCTTCAGAGAAAGCTACAGAACTAGACTTAGGGTTGATTTTTCAATGGTCAGATAAAAGTTACCTGGGGAATAATTATGATGCTGTCGTGTCCGAATGTTTGTATAAGACAGTGACAGCAACAATTTGATTCCTCAGATAACATTTATCTGACTATTGATAAATCAGCCCAGCCGAATAAACTATTATATATTTTTTTATATAATAAGTCGGGAAACGAGCAGACGTAATACCTGAAGGAAAGCAATCAGCTCTGCCCATGGACATTCGAAATAAATAAGGAGTTACTACAAGTGCGTTACCGACCTCTGGTAGGTCATTAGGGATTTCAGGATAGGGCATTTTAAGATTGAAGATGAGGTCCAAAACATAACGTAATTGTTGTTTCACGCCAGTTTTCCATGAAACCGTGGTATCACCCCGGTTGAGCCATATAGGTACATTCTATTGACCTTTAAAAACATTAAAAAGAAAAATATTTTATGATATAGATGCTTTTTGTTGAGGTTCCATTCCATTTAGCATATAGCAAATAGCTTCACTAAGAGGACTGACCGACAGACTGACACTTTATATCTTTAAAATTTTCTTTGACGTTCAAAAGTGCCTGTATGGGTCTAATTGAAATAAATGATTTTGACTTTGATTTTCTCACTCTGCCTGAGACAAGAGGAAATGTCAGACTCTTACTGACTAAAAACCAATCCCTTCTTTGTTACATCATTTAGTCAATCGCTCTGAAAAGTTCTAGAAAAACAAAGATATATATTTTATATTTTATAGAACACAGTTGAATAATTACTTTACAGCTACTAGTCACGGCCGGGGAACATAATCCGAGACGTAAAGATTACAAGTAATCAGTTTACAATACAAGCTAACGTCGTAAATTACTGGACAGATTATGATAAACTTGTTTGTTCCGCAGTTAGGTAGCAATTTATTTTTTTCTCTACCTAACGTTATTTATATTGCTATATCGAATAATTCATTAATTAAAAAGTTATTTATTTTAACACAGACAACATTAGCCTTTAGCCATTGTAGCTTGGCGGCATGGTTGACGCGGGTTCGATTCCCGCACGAAGTTATTCTTTGTATGATCTACAAATTGTTGGCCGGCTCTGGGTGTGATGTGTATGTCTGATTATAGCGTCGCGTCACAAGATCGAATCGTTGTGTGTGTGTGTTTGAAAAATGATAAATAAAAAGTATAAAATAAATAACCAGCGGTCAACTAAGACGTTTCTAATGATATGTCATTTGTCGAATTCTGATCAGTAGTTTAGAAGTTACGAGGGAACAGATGAACATACATACAAACATACATATATACATACATACATGGCCTGTCAAAATCACAACCCTCCTTTTGAGTTGCCGTAGTCGGGTAAAAAACAAACGTTTGGAACGTCAAAATAGAATAATAGTCAGTCAGTCAGTCCTTCAGTAAAGCTAGGTGCTCGTTTCAAAGTGTAGATTGTTTTTTTCACTGAAGTTCGTTTTTAATGTGATAAAGCAACAAACTCTCGTGTCTGCTCGTTTGCTCACCTGATGGTAAGCAAGTCGTCACCGCCCATGGACATCCGACAAGCAACACCAGTGTAGTTAGGGATTAAGGGTTCAATCGACCAATGTGCTTAATAAAAATAGTACAGAATAAATCTTTTTCCCACAACTAACAACTAATAGAAGGAAACTAAATAAATATTTGTGTGTCTATCGCGATAGTTAACATGAATATACGCTGTTATCATTATGTTATCAACAGCTACACTGATCCTTATCAATAACAAGAAAACCAATAATCTACCACAAAGAATATTTATGACATTTTTGACGCAGATCAACTTACAACAAAATGTGTAATTTCTATAATTAATTTTGTACCTAATTATAAACAGCAGATTTCATTATCTATTGAAGATGATGAAGGTAGCTTGATGTGCTGGCATCTTTAATTAAATAATAACAGAACCAAGTCGCTTCCCATTGTCTGTTTCTATGTAGGCTTAGATCTATAAAACTACGTGACAGATTTTAATGCAGTTTGTCTAAGAAGATCATTAAAGAGGTTTTAATGTATGTAGGTATTTATAATTTCTTAATTTTTATTCTATTTCAACTTAATCTATGGAAATGTGGGTAAATATAAAAAGAAAGTACATTCACGTGTCTTTTAAACTAAATCATGAATAATGAAGAAATAGAGTAACTATACGATTATTTTTTTTAAAAAGTGCTTCTTAATGACTCATCTTTAGACAGACTACATTTTACATTAACTTAAAATTTGTCTTAGAATAGATTGCAGTAGTTAAAGCAAAACCTCTTTGACTTATAACTTAGTGGATAGACATTTAATATTAAAATTAAATAAAAAAAAATATATATAATGTTATGCAATATTTCATATTGTTTTGTCAACTTTATTTTGTAATTCGATACATTGTTGATTGTTGATTAGATTCCAATGAAAAACAAGGTATAACCTACCATTTTCCTTCTTAATAATCTTTTAGTAAAAACACCGAAGAAACGTATTAGCTTATCACAACATAGGTAGTATAAAACAAAGTCGCTTTCTCTGTCCCTATATCCCTATGTATGTTTACATCTTAAAACTACGAAACGGATTTTGATGCGGTTTTTTTTTAATAAATAGAGTGATTGAAGAGGAAGGTTAATATATATAATTACATCCGTTAAATAGTGGAGACATTTAGTATCAGCACTCGAGCGAAGCCAGGGCGAGTCACTATAACGACATTTTATTCAACCGAAAAAAAATACAAAATTTTGAATTTCAGTAATACATTCTCCTTTGTATTAGGAAATCGATTTTAGAATTCATTTTCAGTAGATTTTTCCTTATAACATGTTTAAGTTGAGAAACCAAGGAAGGATATTTTTCATAGTTTAGTTTTTTTATTAACTTTATAATGTGACATACTTTAAATGAAATGTACAATTACCTACTTACTGTAATATATTATGCATGTACACATTCTATTACGCCCGGACACTTACATACGCATAAACAAATAATTCACAATTTTTAAAACATAACGAAGAACTACTGAATTTCTTAAGTACAGGAATATGCTGAAATTTCTGTTTATTACTAAACAATTCTATTACCATAAGCAGAAGGTTGAAAATCGTATACGAATCCACAGGCAGGTACAAACCTAACAACTATTCAGTTAAATCGGAACACTTCTAGTCTATTCCCGACTTTATTGGCATCTTCCTGGCCACTTACATCAAAAATAAAACTGCATTACACTTCCCTATCAAACGATAACCGAGTTTATAGCTTAACTAATAAGGTGCAATTTGCAATTTACCTTTGATGGTAGCGCCTACCGTCAGAAGCACAACACATAGAAACACTTTCATTTTTGATCACTAAAACATAACTTTGTAAAAAAATATTGTCTTTTATTTTATTTAATTTATTTAAATTAACTCCGTTGACGCGTCCGCACGCGTTGTAAAATAGGGGAACACTAAGCGGTGTCAGTGAGTAAACATTTTGATAAAAATGATCTAAGGGTACTCGTGCACTGCGGCGTAAGCCAACAATAACAAGATTGTGTGAATGCTACACATTTGTCGTTCAGACGGGCGGCGATGAGTTCATAGGTTAGTTTTTGTGTATTTTCCAATTGAGTACTAGACTTTATTGTTGTTGTTTTAAAGTTTAATTTTAAACGTGCTTGTTTTCATTTAATTTTAATTTTGACTGTTTTTTTATGTTGATACTAACAAAATTAAAGATGAAGTTTTATGAACTTAAAGTATCTTACTCGTTCTTCTTTATAGAAATCAAAATACACAGAAAATAATGCAATCTAACTAAGAGGACTGACTGACAAATTGACAATTTTAATCTTTAAATATTTGTACACAAATGTGCATGTAATGATCTAATTAAATTAATGATTTGACTTCCACTTTCCACTTATGACTTTTGATGTTGACTTTATCATTGATTTTTACTTTGACTTTGACTTTGACGTTGAATTAGACTTTGACTTTGACATTGATTTTTAATTTGTTTTTTTTTAATAAATAATAACATGCCCCAGTTACTTGATAAGAAACAAACCATTGGATATAGAACATTTTTTATTTTAATTATTAATATAAAAGGCTTTGTCGCTTGCCTTGGCGACCATATAACATTTTATTTAAATAAAACTTCAGATATTCGATTCAAATATGTATCTCGAAACCTGTGTCCTACGGTTAAGGATAACCAAAAAGTATTAAAATATTCACTCCTGTCATAAGTATGGGCCATGAGTCATCGCTTTTTCGCAGCACATGGCGGTGCTCACGTACTTACAAGACGCGAGCGGTAAGGGCCACACACACTTGCGATTTTTTCTACCTATACTGTGTACCTACTTCACTTCAGTAAATATATGGTCAATGTCACACCATACGTCATTCTAATCAATTACCATAAGTAAAGATAACAGCTATTAAACCTACCTCAATCTAAACAATGTCATTAACCAATTTTCAACGTTATTCATTTATGTCAAAGTTGGTATTCAACTGAAGATGTTCAGAAAAGGTGTACCTTCATGCGCTTTTTAGAATAGGTGCGTGTAAACATAATAAGTGCTCTTAATGTAAAATGAGCGATGATTACATTGATATACAGTTTTTTTTCCTTTATTTTTTATGTCATAGGTCGGCAAACGAACTGGCGAATTACCTGATGGTAAGCAATCAGCGCTGCCAATGGACACTTGTAATACCAAAAGGAGTTAAGTACTACAAGTGCGTTGCTGGCCTCTTGTGGGTTATAAGCGATTTGAAGATCGAGGATCGGGGGGAGGATTGGGCCTCCGGTAACCTCAGTCACACGACGAAAGACAGCACTACTGTTGTTTCAGGCCAGTTTTCTGTGTGGCCGTGGTATCACTTCTCCAGGCCCATTCATGCCAAAGCTTGGTTCTCTCACACAGCATTTTTTTTCATTACGTAGGCATTATCCTATGACGTCATAAGTCTTAAGATGATTATGTTAACCGTTTACACATATGTACAGCATAAACAGTTTTTGTGATGTTCTTGCTACTGTGGTCCATTTCTTAGTATTTTAGCGTTACGATACACAGCCTTTGGCTAGCCTTGAATGTGTTGAGTGCTGTCAGAATCAACAATGTTTTTCATAAAGTCTGTTATAGCTTTAGAATCGGCTCGACTGAATGATACCACGACCTCACAGAAAACCGACGTTAAACAACCACAGCGTTGTGTTTTGCATTTTAGCCATCGTAAGCGCGGGTCTGCGAAACTGGGACCAAACCCAAGCATACAGCGCGTATCGTTCCGCACGCATCTCAAAAAGCTAATTGACCACCACAGACGGGACCCTACAGGGTCGATTTTCAGCTGGAGTTGCGGGCAAGTGAATGAAGGTAGCGTGACCTCCGCCTAGAGCAGGAAAAGGAACGGGGGCTTTTAGTCAGTAACAGTTGTTAGACTCTCACCTCACCCTGGGCGAGAGGAGTAATTTGAAAATTTACCCCACACAAAAAAAAAAACGTTTTGGTATAACATACTTCAACTTAACATAATTATAAAATATTCAATCCTTTATGATGCCCCGACCTCGGCAACAAGCAGAAGTAACGGAGTGATTTTTAGTCAGTAAGAATTTGACACACACTCATTGCTCCCCCGAGAAGTCATTTGATGATTTTCTACCCGCAAAAAATACCTTTATCGATTTTAACTCTAAGGTCTTCGAAATGATCATACCATCATTGCTACATTTCTGAATTGAAACGTTTAAGAAAAAAGGGTATATTTTCTTAAAAGGCCGTTACGTCGGTACTTGTAGTTCGGTGTCCACATCCAATGCCTATGAGTACTGCTGTTCATCACCACGTTTGCTAAAGGCGAGTTGGCGATTTCAAACTTCGTAACAAAGTCCAGGTTTCCTTACGGGGTTTTCCTTTACTGTATATCAGTTGTGTCTTAATAATCATAGAAAGTACATATAACTCGGAAAAAGTCACATTGATACTTGCCAGATCTTCATGGATAAGAAGCGGGCCTAACCTCCGGCAACCACAAAGGGCAAGTGTCCATGACCTCTTTATCCAGAAAAAAACATGTTGATAATTTAAAGAACGATGAACAGAATGCTTTATCATTATCCGGCCACGTGTGTTGGCAGAGCACCGTCGTTAGCGTGTCAACATAATTATATATATGTGTTTATATAATAAACAGTGAGAGTGTCTATTAATATACTATATTGTGAACGAAAGCCACGTGGTGGCAGTGCAGTATGACTTCATGAGCTGTATGACAGTCTGTAAACATATTGAGCTGACATAGAGCATATAACATATATAAAAACCATTATAAAATGACCGTTGTGTTTGCAGAAAGATGATATAAAGCGAGATTGTGATAAGCTGGTTTTTATAGCTTGTTATGTGCGAGATGTTCCAAACTATAATTCGATTCATATGTGTATGTAGTAAGTATGTATATTTGTTGATTCTTTCACTCCCGATGTGAATTGCGTCTTTTTATTTTGAAGTCTACGTCATAGTTTTTGTTCGAAGTCACTGTTTATGTTTTAATAATGATTTTCATTTATTGTTTAAACCAGTTATTGGGTAAACGTACCAAAAAATATTTAATGTACAGGTTCAGGATAAAAAACAAAGCTATACAAAAAAATATCATGTCTGTGTCAGTGACACACATTTCCATGTCAAATGCATACCTCATCTCAGCATTATGAAATAATAATTAAATATTATTGTATGATGGAAAAACATATATTATCCCACAGAAACACATCACAATGTATAAAATACAATTAATAAAAACATTATTAAGTAAAATCGATTATGTAGTCACTAATACGATATTAAATAGGCAAATAAACAAATTAGTAATCTTAACAAAACTACATAAAATAAAATCTCTAGTAAACCGTCATTATGATTCTAAATATCCACCATCATTAGCGATACTAATTAAGATGTTTCGAAAAAACCAACAACTGCAACAAGTGGCACTTGAACTTGTGACATCTGACTCATTATAGTAACTCTTTGAACATACATAGAGCTATCATAGCACGTGCGCGTCAATTAAATATCGCCTTAAGGGACTCCATATTAACATAGATTGTGGAGCAGCGATCTTTGATGAATTACACAGACACTTTAAAACTGTGATATTCAATCCAATAATCAAACTTATGTGTAGGAGAGCCATGCTTCGGCACGAATGGGCTGGCTCGAAATCAAAGTCAAAGTTAAACCAAAGTAAAAATCATTTTTTCCAACTAAACCATAAATAGTTTCTTTTGAAATGTCAAAATAGAATAGTAGTCTGTCAGTCTGTTCGTCAGTGAAGCTAGATGCTCATTCCAAATTGTAGATTCGAATGGAGAAGAACGAGCAAGAACTTAGGTACTCTGGAAAAGTAGTTACTCTTCGTTTTCACGTTACCATCGTTACTCTCGAAGAAACAATTTCGTTGTGTTTCACCGTGTGAGTGGTGTTACCGGAGGTTACATCCTCTATCGTCGTCAATCTTCAGATACCATATCCTTAAATTTCTTACATCATTAATAACCCACAAGAAGCCGACAAAGCAGTTGTAGTAACTCCTTCAGTATTACAAATGTCCACAATGCCCATATGTGGCCCTGACCTATGACATAAAAAAGTCAAGCGTGAAAATTATCGGTCGATGTCCAGCCGGAGTTTCACGGTTGGAATCGCAATAATTAAATACCACGGCCCGGCTCGAAGCAGTAGAGGCTACCGGGTGGTTTTGGGTAGTTTTTAATAAGAAATCTAACATTCCCTCGCCCTTTACCCAGTCAAGTCATTTATCTTTTATTCATATAATACACTTTATTCTCTTGATGATGATTTTTTTTTCAGACGTTCCCGAGATTTTTAGTTCTCTCGTCTCTCCGAGGGTGGGTGTAGTCATTTCATGTTTTTCCAAATAAAAGTAATAAAGTGAAATTTACCACGTAAACCAGCACCGCCAAAATCAACCACATTCCAAACACAATAAAAATAGCATGGAAATGCTCCGTTGTTGCGGGTGTCCATGAGCGGCGCTGATTGCTTACCATCAGGTAATCCGTCTGCTCGTTTGCTGTCCTATCACATAAAAAAAAAAAATAGCATATTTTTGTATAAGTTTTATAATAGAAAATTGGTGGTGGCCTGGAGGTTAAGGCGCCCGCTTCTCATGCATGAGGGTGCGGGTTCGAAACCTGGCAATTACTAATGTGACTTTTTCCGGGTTATATGTACTTTCTATGATTATTTAAACACCACTGACATACGGTGAAGGTAAACATCGTAAGGAAAACTGGACTCATAATTTCTAATTATAAGTTTGAAATCGCCAACCCGCATTGAGCAAGCGCGGTGATTAATGCTCTAACCTTTTCCGTGTGAGAAGAGGCCTTTGCTCAGCAGTGGGCACTTATAGGCTGATGAGGATGATGATGATGATGATGAATAGAAAATTGCTTAAAAGATTTACGATTTAAGTTAGGTTATG